AACTGGGACCCAATGACATCATAGGGAGGAGCTAGTGACATCACAGACCATGGTCACTATCTATGGAGGTGGATCCATGTGGGATTTAGGGATGGGCTCCCCAGAAAGTTAGGGAGGCCTGGGAACCGCCCTAGCGATGTCCCTGGGCTGGGCTAACCCCAGGAACAGTTGCCTTCTTAGCACACTGCTTAGAAACTTAAAAAGCCCCACACACACTCCACACTGGAATAAGAACATAATATCAGGCCATACCACATTGCAATAAAGCCCCTACAACTGTATACAGAAATACTGAGCTTTCCTACCATTTGCCACAACTAGCCCACCACACAACCAGGATCAAGACTCCTAAGTGGACCAACAGACAGGCATACACTCGTTTGAGAAACTGAGTATTACAACACCTCTGGAACATTACAGATCAGTAGAGGCAGCACTGCACAGTGGTCAGAGTTGCAGATTGATGTGGGGAGACCCAGGTTTGTATTCTCACTCTGCTGGCTGAGTGACCCCGGGCCAAATCTCCCCTTCTCTACCTAACCCTACCCCACAGGGTTGTTGTGAGGATGAAATGGAGACTCATGGGCAGGGTCCCCAGCTTCCCCGGCAGGAGCACTATGTTAAGAAATCTCTCACAATTATGCAGCCATAGCAGGCAGGAGGGAAGGAGGTGAATACCTCCAGCGCCAGAGACTTGTAGAAGAAGAGTCAAACTTTGGGGACTCACTCGTGCACCAGAGGGCCAAGGCAGCAGGAGGCAAGAAGCCTGGGCGAGCTGGGCTCCTCCTTGCCTGGCAGAAGATGAGGTGCAGAGGCGAGAGGTGGGCAAGCAGAAGAGGCACTCAGCCGGCCGCACAAGCTGCATGCAAAGAAACTCCCGCCGCCCCAAGCTTCAGGGCTGCCTCGTTAAAGGAGTGCAAAGGCCAGACTCGCAAATGAGGAAAAGCAAGCTCAGGGTTCGGCCCCATTATATCCTATGGGCCATTGAAGTCAATGGCAAAAACATAGGGTATATTCTGGGGGCTGGAGGGGAGGGGGTTTGAGGGAGAGGCTCCAAAATCGCAGGGTAGCTGCTGGAGCCTTTCTCCAAAATACCCGCCATGTTTCAGGAACATTGAACCAGGGGGTCCAATTCTACGGGCCCCCAAACAAGTTGCCCCCATCCCCTCCATTGTTCTCTATAGTGGGAAAAAAGTTACCTTTTTGAGGTGTGGTGACCAGAACTGTGCACAGTATTCCAAATGAGGTCACACCATTGATTTATACAGGGGCATTGTGATATTGGCTGATTTGTTTTTCAATTATCTTTCTAATAATCCCCAGCATAGTGTTTGGCTTTTTAAATTGCAGTTGCACACTGTCGCAACATTTTCAGTGAGTTATCTACCATGATTCCAAGGTCTCTCTCTTGGTCAGTCTCCACCAGTTCAGACCCCATCAACGTGTATTTATAGTTAGGATTTTTGGCCCCAAATGTGCATCACTTTGCACTTGGCCGCATTGAACCCCATTTTCCACGTTGACGTGGCCCACTCTCCCATCCTTGACAGGTCCCTTTGGAGTGCCTCACAATCCTCCCTGGTTTTCACCACCCTGAACAATTTCGTGTCATCCGCAAATTTAGCCACTTCACTGCTTACTCTCAACTCCAAATCATTAATAAACAAGTTAAAAAGCATTGGACCCTGTACTAAGCCCTGCAGTACCCCACTGCTTACCACTCTTCACTGAAAAAATTGCCCATTCATACTCGTTCTCTGTTTCCTATTAATTAGCTAGTTTTGATCCACAAGAGGACTTGTCCTTTTATCCAATGACTACTGAGCTTACTTAGGAGCCTTTGATGAGGAACTTTATCAGAAGCTTTCTGGAAGTCAAGGTAAACAACATCTATTGGGTCCCCCTTGTCCACATGTTTGTTCACCCCCTCAAAAAACGCTAACAGGTTAGTGAGACAAGATCTTCCCTTACAGAACCCATGCTGAGTCTGCCTCAATAGTTCATCAATGTGCCTACTAATTCTTTCCTTAATAAAGAGTTTCCACCAACTTACCCGGTATTGACGTCAGAGTGACTGGCCTGTAATTTCCCGGATCGCCTCTGGAACACTTTTTAAAGATGGGAGTGATGTTGGCTACTTTCCAGTCCTTAGGAATGGAGGCATATTTTAATGAAAGATGAAATATTTTTGTCAGGAGATCCACAAGTTCACATTTATTTATTTATTTATTTATTTATTTTATTTGACTTATCTCCCGCCCTCCCCGCATGGCAGGCTCAGGGCAGGTTACATCAAATTTGGTAAAAATACAATATACAAAAATTAACACAGTTAAAACACCAATAAAATACAAATCTAATTAACATTAAACTTATTTTACTGTTTTAACATCTTCAAATGTGTTTAAAATACACCCAAAAGAGAGAGCTACGAACGGCTGTGCCCTGCGCAACCTTAGTACAGGTATCTTAGTTTTTGCCATCTGAGAGGTAGGAAAAAAATAAAAGTTGGAAATAATAAACACACATTTTTGTAGTAGACAAAAGAGTGTTATTTGAACAGAAACAGCTTCATGCGGTCGTATTAGAGCTAGCAGCTCATTTGGGTACTGAGCTAAGTTTTGTAACATGGAACCATTTAATAGCACGTTATAGCCTATCCATTATTGGCAAAATTAAGTCATGTTTAAAGAGTAAATATAAGCATGAAAATGTGTTGTTGTGAATGTAGGATATACATATTTTAAATCAGTAGTATGTTCAAATCGCCAAATGCTGGCTTCCGTTTTCCTTACAACCCAGGATTTGGTGCGGTGACTCAATCCTGGTTTTGGAATCCTTCTTAGTAGGGAAAAAAAATAGGGAAAGTGCAAATCATAGTTTGCAAGTTTACACACAGTGGTTTTCTAGGGAAGGCAGAAATGAGTCATCAGCTGACCAAAAGGAGGGAGTGGGAGCTCAAGTATCCCCTGGGTTCATGCACATAGCGATAAACTTTGGTTTACCATTCTGGCTGAACTGTGCAGTATATCTCTGAATCCTAATTCTTTGGCACTGCACGTATTTAATTTATTATTATTACTTATTTACTTAATCTATACCCTGGTTTTCTCCCCAGTGGGGACCCAGAGTGACTTAAATCATTCACCTCTTCTCCATTTTATCCTCATAATAGCCCTGTGAGGTAGGTGAAGCTAAGTGTATGGGAAATAGCCCAAGGTCACCCAGAGCGTTTCCATGGAAGAGTGGGTGATTTGAACTGGGTCTCTCAGATCTTATTTTGGTACTCTAACCACTATATCATACTTGAAGCTTGTGATAGTGATTTTCTGTTCTTTTTCCCTACCTCCACTTATTGATACAGTAAAAGGAACCTTCTTTTATGGGGTTGGAAGTCCAGCTAGCCCAGTACTAACTGTCCAGTGTTTCAGAGTCTTTCCTGGCCCTGAGTTGAGACTTTTTAACTGGGTGTGCAACAGATTTAACCCAGGAGCTTTTATGTGTAATCTGCCCTAAGGCCACTGGTTCCTTCCCTTCTACCCTAAACCTCACATTTGAACAACAATGGAATGTAGGCTTCCCAAGCCTGACACTTGTGAGGGAAATGTCCCTCTCTTGTGACTTCTGTGACTCTTTCTTCCTGTCTTTGCAGGCTCATTGCTGCTGGGGTGGTCATGCGCCCTTATGTGGAGGCCAACATCTCCCATAAATCCCACACCACCATCAAGTACTTCCTGAAGATGTGGAGCAGCGTCAGTGAGACCCTCATTTTCATCTTTTTGGGTGTCTCCACTGTGGCTGGGCGGCACCGCTGGAACTGGACCTTTGTCATCTGCACCCTGATTTTTTGCTTGATTGCCAGGGTCTTAGGTAAGGCTCTCAGGGTCAAAGGGGGAGCAGGAGGAGGAGGTTTGTACCTGTGCGCAGACCACAAAATTTAGCCGTTTGTCCAGGGTGGAGGCAACCCTAGAATGTTAGGAATGCAGGACCTGCAAGGGGCTATTCCAGCTTGTTGTTGGGCAGGATTCCCCAAGAGAAGGAAACTTCCTGCTTAGCCTATACCAGTGATTCATTGTGAGTTGCAGTTCTCTGACAAATGGCGTGGGAGGTTCAGACTCCTAAGCTGGAAGAGGACATGCTTTGGCCTCCCTCCTCCTGGTGGGGGGGAAGGAGAAAGGGGTAGAAATGCTGCACTACAAGCATAGTTCTCTGTCTTGCCTTGTGCCTGGCAGAATTTGAGTAATTCAGGTACGCCAAGCAAATATTAATACACTTGCTTGATCTGAACAGTTGATACCAAGTTTTAGGATTTGATTCTGCTTCTTCTGTAGCACTGGGCGCTGGAAGAGAAGAGAAAGTCGCTCAATTCAGACATCATGTGAGATCATAGTTAAGAAAGCATAACTGTAGGTTGGCTTGACATCCAGACTGGTGAGCCATGGTTTGTGATCTGCTAGTAAACCAAATTGAGCTACAATGGTTGGAAGCGAATCTGCAAACTGTAGTTTGTGCTAACTGTGGTCTGGTATGAAGTCTTAATTGACAGGCCATCACTTCTACACATAAAACTGCCTTATCCTGAGTCAGACCCATGGTCCATTGAGGTCAACACTGACTGGCAGATGCTAGCTATGGGTCTCTGGTCAGGGTCTTTCATACCACCTACTACCTTATCCTTTTAATTGGAGATGCCACAGGGTGAACCTGGGACCTTTTGCATGCAAAGCAGATGCTCTGTCACTGAGCTGGGGTCCCAGTGGAGGCTGCTGCACCATGGAAATGGGACTGGACATGAAACTGAGTGTTGATGGGAGTGGGGAGAGGAAAATAGGCAGTGGCTGCACACTTGCACTCTGTCTGCCTGTTATGTTTTTGAAAGCACAGAACTTTTGTTTTAGGATCAAAACTATGTTAAAGTATGGCCGGGTGTGATGTCTGAGTTATGCAAGAGGTAAAGTTTAGGAGGTAGAAGTCCAGTGACTTTTGTCTCTTGCTCCCACACTTGAGGATAATTTAAAATTGAAAGCATGTGGCATTCCCCTCCTTGATTGTACAGCATGTGGGGAATTGCTGAATGCTCCTCTGTGTTTGTAAAAAGGTAAAGGTTCCCTTGCTCGAAAGCCAGTCGAATCCGACTCTAGGGTTGCGGTGCTCATCTCAGTTTCAAAGCTGAAGAGCCAGCGCTGTCCGAAGACATTTCCGTGGTCATGTGGCTGGCATGACTAAACACCAAGGTGCACGGAACACTGTTACCTTCCCACCAAAGTGGTACCTATTTATCTACTTGCAATTTCTTGCTTTCAAACTGCTAGGTTGACAGGAGCTGGAACTAGAGATGGGAGCTCACTCCATCATGCGGCACCTGGGTCTTGAACTGCTGAACTACTGACCTTCCACAGCCTGCAGTTCAGCGTCTTAACCACTTGAGCCACCGCAGCTCCGTTTGTAGACAACACTTTATAGTAAAAAAGCATACCAAGATGCAGGATTTCACATAGCCTTCCTGACTGATGTACTAGTTTTCCAACAAACCCCCCCCTCCCAATAGTCATGTATTATTTCTCCTGGTTGGCTCTGCGGTCGAGTAAACGAATACATTCAGAATTTGGGAGGAATTTTCCTGCAAGTCAGATCAGCTGGTGATCTGACATCTTCTGTATCAGAGTTGTTTCTTTGAGCCACCATGTGTGTGCATTTTGCCATGTTTCTTTCTTGTTTTGGTATGTTTTGGTGTCTCCACATCCTGCCTGGAAACTTGCAAACTCAATTAAAAGCACATATGGCCCCATAACAAGGAAGAATTTTTCTTTGCCAGCCTTCATTCCTCTTTTGGCATTCCCAAACTGTAATAGTGCGGTGCAGCTTTTTTCTGCTGAAATTATTATTATTATTATTTTGCTTCTGGGTGTTTTCAACAGTATATTCCTCTTTATGTTTGCCTTACCCTAGTAAACTTCTCTTGCTGTGATTATTTATCATTCAGGTGTCCTTGGATTGACTTGGTTCATTAACAAATTCCGCATTGTGAAGTTGACCCCGAAGGATCAGTTCATCATCGCCTATGGTGGCCTGCGAGGGGCCATCGCCTTTTCTCTGGGTTACCTCATAGAGGAGACACATTTTGACATGAGAGAAATGTTCCTCACAGCCATCATCACAGTCATCTTCTTCACTGTGTTTGTGCAGGTAAATTTGTAATCTTCCTTTAAGGATGAGGATTAAACCAAGGGTCCCCAACGTAGTTGAGCTTGTGGGCAGTTTTGGAATTTTGAGAACAGGTAGCACGCACCCTGACAAAATGGCTGCCACATGGCCAACTACAAAATGGCTACCATAAGGGCTGAGTCCAATAGTAAACTGTTGGGAGGTTCCACATGTTAGGAAGTTCCAAGCCAGACATCCTCCTACAGTGAAGACAGCTGTTTCCAAATGGGTGATCTCTACAGACACACCGGTGATGCGTCTTCTGAAGTACCTCCTTCTGCGCTGAAATGAGAGAAAACCCAGTCGGGCACTTTTCTTTTATCCGGAAATATTAGAAAGTTGGGTCATGCCATAAAATTGATTGGAGGGACAGAAAAAGGGAAATATTTCTTTGTGCAATGCAGGGCTTAGCTTACTATTTATCTGTCTGGTACATTAAAAAAAAACCCAGCCTTCCTCTTAGTCATTATGGTTCTCCCCCATTCCTTCAATTTTATTCTCACAACAGCCATGTGAGATGGGTTCAGTTTTGGGAGAATGACTGGCCCAAGGTCATTCAGCAGGTTGCACAGCAGAATGTGAATTCAATCCTGGGTCTCTCAGGTCCTATCAAAGTCCACTGGCACCTTTAAAACTAGTAGCTCAAGTGGTTAAGATGCTGAACTGCAGACCGGAAGGTCAGTAGTTCAGCAGTTCAAGACCCGAGCGCTGCATGACGGAGTGAGCTCCCGTCTCTGGTCCCAGCTCCTGCCAGCCTAGCAGTTCGAAAGCAAGAAATTGCAAGTAGATAAATAGGTACTGCTTCGGTGGGAAGGTAACAGCGTTCTGTGCACCTCGGTGTCTAGTCATGCCGGCCACATGACCACGGAAACATCTTTGGACAGCCCTTGCTCTTTGGCTTGGAAACAGAGATGAGCACCACATCCCTAGAGTCTGATTCGACTGGCTTTCGAGCAAGGGAAACCTTTACCTTTACCTTTACTAGCATTTAATTCAGTGTGAGCTTTTCTGAGTCCCGACTCACTGTCTGAAGAGGTAAGCTGTGACTCATGAAAGCTCATATTGAAATAAATGCTGTTAGTCTTTATAAGTGCCACTGGACTTTTGTTTTGCTATGACAGACTAACACAGCTATTTGTTTGCAGTCTCCTAGATCCTAGTAGTCTGACACTTCAAATCAATATACCACTTTGGCTCTCTGAGTTCATTGCTGCTAGATACTTGCTGACATAAATGGCATTAAAGTGGGATTGGACAGATTTGTGGAGACCAGATCTAAGAACAGCTACATGAAACCATACTGGGCAGTGGGAGGCAGCCGGTGAAAGATGTTGGCTCTGGGAAGCAGAAGATAAAGGCATCTGGTCAGCCACGGTTGGAAGCCTCATAGATTTGTGGTCTGATTTTGCAAAGGTGGTTCTTAAATCCTGAAGATTATGTCACCTCCGGCAGTTCTGCTGCTGTTTGACCAGGAACCCTCCTGTGACCTTCAACAAGCACCTTCATAACTGGGAGGTTTTCTCTAGAATGAGAACGGGTAGAAGGACTTGTGCCTTTCCTTTGGATCCTACCCTGTTATCCTTGTTGAACAATGGCCCCACCTGGCTTGATTTGCCCATTTGTACAGTCACCTACCTTGGCCTGGATGTCCTAGGCCAGTGGTGGCGAACCTATGGCACGGGTGCCAGAGGTGGCACTCAGAGCCCTCTCTGTGGGCACGCGTGCCATCGGCCCAGCCAGGCCCAGACCGTCATTAAAATGTTGAATTCTCTGCCAAATAATTTTAAGTAAATGAAAGCATTTGGGATTGCTTTCCTTACTTTGTTTGGATCATCTTAAGTTAGTGTATGAGTTGTTTTTTCTAAAGTAAAACCTCAGTATTCAGGTTAAATTGCCGTGTTGGCAATTTAAATAAGTGGGTTTTGGGTCGCAGTTTGGGCACTCAGTCTCTAAAAGGTTCGCCATCACTGTCCTAGGCTAACCCAATCTTGTTAGACTTTGGATGCTAAGCATTGTTGGTCAGGGTTAGTACTTAGAAGAAGAAGAAGAGGAGGAGATTGGATTTATACCCTGCCCTTCACTACCCCAAGGAGTCTCAGAGCGGCTTACAAACTCCTTTCCCCTCCCCACAACAGACACCCTGTGAGGTAGGTGGGGCTGAGAGAGCTCTTGACAGAAACTGCTCTTTTTCCAAGAACAGCTGTGCCAGAACTATGGCTTGGCCAAGGTCATTCAGCCAGGTGCAAGTGGAGGAGTGGGGAAACAAACCCGGTTCTCCCAGATTAGAGTCTGCACACTTAACCACTATACCAAAGTTAGGTAGGGACCGCTGAGGAAGTCCATTGAGGAGGGGCATAAATCCCTGTCTGAACAAACTGGTCCTTTCCTGTGGGTGACTGAGGTGGTTGTAGTCAGTCCGCACCAAGTGCTGCACCAAAGTGCTGTCAAGTTGCAGCTGACTTACAGCAACCCCATAGGGTTTGCAGGACAAGAGACATACAGAGGTGATTTGCCACTTGCTGCGGACTGACTACAACCGAGCATTAGGGTTCCCCATGTTTAGAACTGAGCATACACATGAATTCTGCATCATGGTGGGACTGTGGCTCAGTTGCAGAACAGCTGCTTTGCATCCAGAAGGTTCCTGGTTCAATCCCCAGCATTTCCAGTTAAAAGGACCAGGCAGGAGGTGATGTGAAAGACCTTCCTCTGAGTGAGACACTGCAGAACTGCTTTTAATCTGAGTAGACAATGCTGACCTTAATGGACCTTAATGGTCTGATTCAGTATAAGGAAGTTTCATGTGTTCAAGGTCACTCTTATCTACTCCGAGTGGCAATGGCTCTCCAAGATCTTGCATAGACCTACTACCTGATCTTGTAGCTGGAGATGCCATGGATTTGAACCTGGACCTTCCCACCTAGTTTAGAAGTTAACTAGCTCAGTATAGCCTATGTCAGCTGTCTGTCATTTCCTGGATTACGTCTGAATATTGCCCCATTATCTTTCAGAGCCAAATAGGCTTTCCCTCAGGCAGCTAGCACTCTTACGATGAACCGGTTTGTCTCTCCACAGGGTATGACCATCCGTCCTTTGGTGGACCTTCTAGCAGTGAAAAAGAAGCAGGAGACCAAGCGGTCCATCAATGAGGAGATTCACACGCAGGTGCTGGTTTGGTTCTACTTGGCCATGAAATATCCTCATGTGCTGCTTTAGTTCTGCTGCCTCCATAATCATTTTCTTTTCTCCTTCATGTGTCATTGCCAGTTAGGTGTACAAAGCAGGTAATAACCCCTCAAGTACATTTTTAAAAGGAAGCAGCATGCGGGAACAATTTGGGACTGAAATTTCCAAGGTTATTTGCATATTTCCACCCCCACCCCCACCCCCACCCCCAATGCTGCCCTCCACAGGATCCAACCCCCAAATCTCCAGGTATTTTCCTAATCAGAACTGCCCACTGTATTTGACATGGCTTAATTTGCCTATAAAGCAAGTGGTTGGCATGGGACTTCCTTGCCCCCCAGGGGCCAACTTCGGGATTGCGCCTTATTCCACCACTTCCCAATCTTTACATAATTGGTGAGATTGCTCATACCACTTTATTTCTATTTCTGTTTTATTTTTTAAAATCTGGTTAGCGTGAACTTCAGCATAGGAGAAGAGAAACGTATGATTTCCAAATACTTTTTAAAAAAATTACAAGGCAGTTGGAGCAGTGGTCTGATGCTCAAGTTGTACCAGTCGGAAGGGAAGGAAGAAAAGGGGGGGGAGGTTGTCACAGCACCAAACAAATCAAATGATTATTAATGGTGTGGACAGGGATGCAGAGGTGCGTCTTTGAGCCATCTGGCGCTGACCTTCTCTCATAGATTCTTCTCCCTTTTCCATGCATTTAGATTATCCATCTCTCTGACAAATGTCTTCCTCCCACTCTCTAAAGTATGGCAGGTAACTAGAAGGACACAAGTAAAGGAGAATGAACTTGTAACATTTCAGATCCTTGCCCTTTTGGAATATTCCCCTCTGTTTAAAAACTGATTCCCTGGAAACAGGAAACCAGCACACAAAGCAAATAGAGTGGGTAGAATCTTGTCTTCCTGCTGTTCTAGTTTTCTATTGTGGGAAGGTGTTTTGTTTTTAATGCAGAGGAACATTTCAAGCTGGAATCCACCCCTGAAGTATGTGCCGTCAGTTCTGTTCCCTCATTCTTCTGCTTGGCCTTAGAGCTGCCAAAATGGTGGAGCTCCTTCATCAGCAAGATCCCTTGGACATTTCAAAACGTTTTTAACCTCCAAAGAGGTTTTAAGTGAGTTAGGATCAGATTGTTTAAGTTGGATTCCTTTTGTCATGCCTTGGTTTTTTTGTTTGTTTGATTTTTTTGCTTTTGTTTGGTACATAACTCTGACCTTTTTATTTATTTAAAATATTTCTATGTCTGCCTTTCTCCTGCTCAGTGACCCCTGCTGTAGAGCAGTCCATACATTTAGACCAGCTGTTCTCCATGCAGCAGCCCTCAGAGCAGCTAATGGGCTATGCCAAGTCATCTTTTTCCTGGGTACAAAATACTACAGGCTTGGGCTTCAGTTTCAGAGATAAACTGTGCAGATTTTTACATAGCAGATGAGCAAACAAAAGCATATTTATTCATTTCCTCTCTTCCCCTTCCTTAAAGTTCCTGGATCATCTTTTGACTGGGATTGAGGATATATGTGGCCACTATGGCCATCACCACTGGAAGGACAAGTAAGTGTTGAGCCAGCAAGGCTGCTGCTGTTCATTAATTTCCTTTGGGCTGGCTTATCCGTTGGATGGGATGTTTGCAGCAAAAATCACTGGCTTTGGCTCTCTGCAGGACACCTTAGCACTGCCTTTGCAGCTGGTATGGCACAGCGAACAGTAGAGTTCATAGTAATGCCTCATTGAGAGCCAGTTTGGTGTAGTGGTTAAGTGTACGGACTCTAATCTGGGAGAACCGGGTTTGATTCCCCACTCCTCCACTTGCACCTGCTGATGTGACCTTGGGTCAGTCACAAGCTCTGGCACAGCTGTCCTTGAAAAAGAGCAGTTTGTGTCAGAGTTCTCTCAGCCCCACCCACCTCACAGGGTGTCTGTTGTGGGGAGGGGAAGGGAAAGGAGTTTGTAAGCCGCTCCGAGACTCCAAGTGAAGGGCGGGGTATAAATCCAATCTCTTCTCTTCTTCTTCTCAGCAAATGCCTGGAGAGTTGGGGAAGGGTGGCATTTGAGGAGAATACAGTGTCACTTCTGGGTAATGCTCTTAGCAGCCTCCTGTGGTCTCTGTGGGAGTTAACCATAGAGACTAGGGGAAATTTCTTGAGTGTCATTATGTGGAGGCCATGCCTTCTTTTGTTCCTCAGTTCTTCAGGTGAGGAAAACTGAGGCTGGGGGCAGGGAGTTTCCCAGGCCAGGCGAGTAAATTGGAAGCCTAGTGAACAAAGAAATGGGTTTGGCTCCCCACAGATGTGTCCCATGTTGTAATATTTTGCACTGTGCCATAGATCCAAGGCTCTCCAGTCCCTCTGTCTACATAGCATTTCACCAGGTTCTATTTCTTGATTACACTAAAGTGTGATGGGGCAGCAGAACTCAGAAACTGGCTTTTGTTCATTAAAAATTTTTAATGTGATGATGGTATAATACTTAACAGCATTAATGAGAACAGAACCCAGGGAATGGTGATGATACCTATTTTTTAAACTGAAGTAAAAGGATGCAATTGCATTTCTGTAAGAAAGAATCAAAGCAGGGAGGCCTGTTGAGGATTAACTGATCTGCCTTAGGCAGTACCATTCACATCTTAAATTGAGAGTGCTGTTTTGTGACAATCATGGGCACAGAAACTGCTGCTCACATTGACTGCAAGCCACTCATACCACAAGTTGAAACAGCAGTTTGAGAAGTGACTGTCCCATTGCTGTAGACGTGGTTATCAGGAGGCTACTGCCCAGCTGATATATTCTGGATACCTACACAATTCAGCAACAGTTAGGGGTATTTTTCAATTGTTCATTTTGTTAATTTCAAGGTGGAAGTTGTAAACATTTTTACTCCCCTCCCCCAATTGAAATCCATGGGGCTTAAAGCACTTAGCCGTGGGCTGGATCATACCCCAGGACAGGTAAATTTAATCCGTGATAAGTATGCTAATTTGTACAAGGTCTTCCTCCAAAATTGCCTGAACCACCAGCGACTTCTGTCTTTGAGGGGGAGCCAAACATTGGTCTTTGGTTTTGTGTCTCTTTCAGTTTACAAGCTGAAAACAAAACAAAACAAAAATCCTGACTTCTGTGGGCTTTGTTAACTGGACGGACTGGATGGTGGCATTTGATGTTTGTGTGGTTTTTTTCTTGTCTTTCTTTCTCCCCTCCCCCTCATATCACTTCTGAAAAGGCTGAATCGCTTCAACAAGAAGTACATCAAGAAGTGCCTGATCGCAGGGGAGAGGTCCAAAGAGCCCCAGCTGATTGCCTTTTATCACAAGATGGAGATGAAGCAGGCCATTGAGCTAGTGGAGAGTGGGGGCATGGGCAAAATCCCCTCTGCTGTCTCTACGGTCTCCATGCAGTGAGTACCATGTCAGGCAGGGAACTGAGAGTTAGTTCTCTGTAAGTGGAAGGAAGGGGTAACCCCCCCCCTCTTCCCCACAAACCTGGTAATACAAAGAAATTAACTTTTGAGGCTTCACAGTGTTGCCTAATATATTACCTTGAAATTGTAACAACAGCCCTGTAAGGTAGGCCAGGATTGTTGTTATCACCACAGTAGATTGACATAGGGAGCCTGCCTAAAGCCATCTTCATATTGATCAGTGTTGAGATTCAAACAAGGGGCTTCTTGATTCATGGCTCAGTCATAAGAACATAAGAAGAGCCCTGCTGGATCAGACCACTGGTCACACAGTGGCCAACTGGTTACTCTGGAGAGCCACCAACAGGGCACAGAAGCCAAAGCCTTCCCCTGCTGTTGTCTCCTGGCACTTGGTATCAGTGATTGACTGCCTCTGGATGTGGAGGTTCCTTTTAGTCACCGTGGCTAGCAGCCAGTCATAAAAGTACCCTCCATGAATCTGTCTAATTCCCTCTTAAAGCTGACTATGCCTGTGGCCATCATGAGAGGCAGTTTGGTGTAGTGGTTAGGAGCACAGGCTCTACTCTGGTAGAACTGGGTTTGATTCCCTATTCTTCCACAAGCAGCTGCTGGTGTAACCTTGGGTCAGTCATAAGTTCTTTTGGAGCAGTTCTTGGGAGAGCTCTCTCAGCCCCACCTACCTCACAGGGTGTCTGTTGTGGGGAGGGGAAGGGAAAGGGATTGTTAGCCACTCTGAGACTCCTTTGGGTAGTGAAGGGTGGGATATAAATCCAATCTCTTCTCTTCTTCTCTTCTTCATTACATCCCCTGGTAGCAAATTCCACATTTTAATCACTTGTTGAATAAAGAAGTATTTCCTTGTATCCATCTGAAATCTATTGCCCTTCACTTTCTCTGGGTGCCCTTGAGTTCTAGTATTTTGAGAGAGGAAGAAGAAGTTCCGTCAGTCCACTCTCTCTACCTTGGTCATAGTCATTTAGCCACTACGGTATACAAGCTGAGCACAGGATTTGTCATCTTGGAGCCAGGCAGAATGTGTCCGAAAGCAGTGGCACACTTGATTAGGAAGAATGGCAAGGAAGCCACAATAGAGACTGGTATCACAAAAGGACACCACTGACAGAACGACGGTGATTCTTTAGTGACCCTTGCATTATTTGTTCAGCTGGTCAAATGCAGAATCAGAAGCTTTGAAGACAAAGCGAGAATGACAGATGGGAGGTATCCTGAGGGCGGAACTCGCAAACCACAGGGCCCATCTGGACCGGAGGAAGTTGTATGCCAGTGCAAGTACAAGTCTAGAAAGGTTCTTTTTAGATCTAAGGTTACATTGACTAGGAACCACAAGGGGGTTGGCCGTCTCCTGTAACCCAAATCTCTGAGGCCTTTTCATTCTTAAAATCCACAGGAACATCAATCCGAAAGCCTTACCTGTGGAACGTATCCTTCCAGCACTCTCTAAAGACAAAGAGGAGGAGATCCGGAAGATCCTGCGCACCAACTTGCAGAAAACCAGGCAGAGGGTAAAGGGGGGGAGGGGAAATCCCTTAGCATTCATGGTCTGGAACATCTCAAAAGGTCAGTGTCCAGCATTCCAACTCCCTGGTCCCTATTCTTTCCACTCCCAAGGGCTAACCCTCACAACCAAAACTCACCAAGACAAATTGTGCGTGGGCATTAATCTCTTGCATTCCCCTGCAGCTACGATCGTACAACCGGCACACCTTGGTGGCAGATCCTTATGAAGAAGCGTGGAACCAGATGTTGCTGAGGAGGCAGAAGGCTCGGCAGCTTGAACAGAAGGTGCGAGGGAGGATGCCAATATGGGGGGGGGGGGTTTCCATGCAAGATCTTTCTCTGGTCAAGAAACTTTTATTTTCTTAATATATTTCACATATTCAAAAACAATTTCTAATAATCAGTTTCCCATCTCCCTCCCTCCTCTCCAGTGGCTTCCCGCAATGCGTTTCCCCTGTGGTCCAAAAGTCTTATACTTTCCAAGATAACAATCTTATGCTTAATATTGATCTAAACAAAGTAAATTTCTTTTTACATCCCAGTTTGTTTCTAGATAAATCTTGAAGTCATCCCATTCTTCAAAAAATTCTTGGTCTTCTTTGTTGTTTAGTTTTCTTGTTATTTTATCCATTTCTGCCATGAACAGAACTTTTTGTATCCAATCTTCTATTTCTGGTATTTTCTCTTGTTTCCAACATTGTGCATAAACCATTCTCGCAGTTGTTATTAAATACCAGAATAGAGTCTTTTTCTTCACATTTAGTTCTTCCATTTTAAGTCCTAAAAGCAGAATCTCAGGTGCTTTTTTAAAGGAAAATTTTAGTATTTTTTGCATTTCTCCATGGACTTTAGTCCAAAAGTCCATAGCTTTATCACAAGTCCACCACATATGGTAAAATGAGCCCTCGTGTTTCTTACATGCAAGATCTTTCTCTTCAGTGCCATTAGGAATATGACCTGCATCAGACTCTGATGTCACTTTTGTTGAACCTCCCAGCATCTTAGGCCAATGTCTTCTCTCCATTCTCATTAATACCCAGCCTTTTTCCCCAGTGGGGACCCAAAGCAGCTTATATCACTCTCCCGTCATTCATTTTATCCTCACAACAACCCAGTGGGGTAGGTTAGGCCAAGATTGTGGGACTAGCCCAAGGTCACCCAGCAAACTTCCCTGGCAGAGTGGGAGTTCAAACCTGGGTCTCCCAGATCCAGTACTCTAGCTACTACACAACATTGGCTAAGTATGCCCTGCACATTATGAGTCTTCTAAATGGCCATGAGTATGCTCAGTCCATATCCCAGGATTGTTATGAGGATAAAATGGCGAAGGGAGGATCATGTATGCTGCCCTGAGCTCCTTAGAGGATGCATGGGATTTAAAAAAATGTATTTAAGAACATTAGAGCCTGCTGGATCAGGCTAGGGGTCCATCTAGTACAGCATAAATAGGGCATAAAAGCCGAGGCCCTCCCCTGGTGCTGCCTCCCAGCACTGGTCTTCAGCGGTTTGCTCCCTTTGACTATGGAGGCTCCCTTCAGTCACCATGGAGCCACTGGCGGACCTTCCCTCCATAATCCATCGAATCCCCCTTTAAAGCCATCTATGCTTGTAGTTACCCCTCTTTCCACTGACAGTGAATTCTACAGTTTAATTATTCATTAAATAATTATTTCCTTTTGTTGTGCTGAGCTTATTTCCCATCAATGTCGTTGGGTGCCCCTGAGCTCTTGTGTTATGGGAGAGGGAGAAAACGCTCCCTCTCTCCCCTTCCCCCCCCCCATACATAATTTTGTAAACCTCTCTCGCGTCTCCCCTTAGCCATATTTTGTTCTGGACCAAAAAGTCCCAGGCTCTCCAGCTGTTCCTCCTAGGAAAGGTGCTGCAACCCCTGGGTCACCTTGGTGTTTGTCTTCTGTACTTTTTCCAGCTCTGCAGTATCTAGTGCATCTTATTCCAAATGAGGCTGCACAGTGGCTCTATAAGGCTGTCACAATATTTGCCATTTTCTTCTCAATCCCTTACCTAATAATCCCCAACAAAGCATTTGCCTTTTTTGTGACTGCTGCCCAGTGGATCATCGTTTTCATTGAGCTATCCACTATAACCCTAAAATCACTTTAAATCTTAGTCTCATCTGGTTCAGACCCAATCTGCGTATGTTTAAAATTAGGATTTGAGAGATAGGTTGTTTTTCTTAACTTACAACTTAAAAGTATGCAGAAACGGTGTCCTTTTTTAGCAGGTGGCTCCATTTTGCTACCCTGCTGATGGGCACCCAATTTTTCAGATGACAACGAGCCCTGTAAATAGATCTGGAAGCAATGGTTTGTCATTTGTCTACATTTAGATAACTATTTCTATATGGATTTCCCCCCCCAACTGAACAGCAACTGAACATCTTCCACAAAATTCCACTGCATAGCAAATGACTCTGGGACATGTCCTGGGCAGTGGCTGTCAGCTGGTAACATACATCCTAGGGAACCTTCAGCATTCCCTTATGGGTGAATGTTGGTAGCAACTGACAATCTTTCTTTCAAGGAAGCTTGTCTGCCTGTCCTGGATTTCACTGAAGATCCTGTGGTGCACTTCTGTGGAACTCCAGGTTTTTCCAGTTTGAAAAGTTACTGAGCTAAAAGGAAGTTAGACAAATTTACATCTTTCAGTGGCTCTTAGCCATCATGGTTAAATGGGACCCTCCATGTTCAGAGGCAGTATACCTCTGAATTCCAGATTCTGTGGAGCAAGAATAGGCTTTGACCTCTGTGCTCAGCTTATAGTTCCTGAGGCATCTGGTTGCCACTGTGGGAAATTTTTTATTTATTTATTTATTTAGACATTTTTACCCCACCCTCCCCGCAAGCGGGCTCAGGGCGGCTTACAAGGGGCATGCGCCCATACATAAAAACACATAAAACAGTAAAATCATGGATAATAACAACAATAACAATAATAAAGTGATTTTTTTTTTGGTAAACAAGACGGTCTTGAGTGGCTTTGATGGCATCTTCAAATCCTCCCCATTGGGGTGACACTGTCCGGAAGATGGTTCAAGCCGATCCCACATTGTCCATGCCACGCAATTTGTGGCGGAACTTCCAAGGGCGATTCCTATTTCCCGATGGTATCGCCACCGTTGGCGGTGGTGGCAGCGGCGGCCCCTGTGCAAAAGCCTGGCATGCATTGGTCTGGGATACATTGGGGCTCCCTACCCCCCACCCCCGTGGCCAATGCAGTTGAGCCAGAGGAGAACACATGGCATTATGGAGGTAGGGAGTGGGAGGTATTTCTAGGCAAGAGCTGTATGGTGGAAGGTTTGGAGACAGACATTGTAAAGGGGGAGAAAGGGGGAGGCTTTGTATCACAGAGAGAGCTTTATGGCAGGAGAGGAAGGAGGGGAGATGTAGCTGGGATCTTTTTTTTATTTTCAACACTTTTTTATTGAAGTATTAAAAATGCATACAACTGTTAATGTAAGATAGAACCACTTCAATTTTAACAAAAAATAGTTAGTACTAATAACAACATAATCTATACATCAATCTTTTAAGGAACGTGTGCTTCTGATTTCAGATAAACAACTACCTGACGGTCCCAACTCACAAAATTGATTCGCCGACCATGTCAAGGGCACGGATTGGCTCAGGTAAGAGGGACGGCTGCTTCTGTGTCCAGAGAGTAGAAACTGGTGGCCTGACAAAGGGGGGAGGTTTTTCAAAGCAAAGGTGCTGCTGCTGCTGCTGCTGCTACTTGCCTTGATCTTTCATGCCTCGCAAGTTTTGTTTTAATAATGTTGCTTTATTTTAACTAAAAAGGGTTTTCTCCCCACCTCCCAGCAGCGCTCTCGAAGCAGCTTCCATACAACAATTAAAACAAGGAACTAGCATGACAAAGGCCAAGATGAGCTGGCTCATGTTAAAACTGGGTTCCTAGCAATTAATGATAAGAAATGGTTTTAAATAAACCTTTCTGATCCAACAGAAAAACCACAGGACTCAAGTAATTGCAACAGAGAACCAATATGAGCCAACCCATATAATGAGCAGGGGAGATAAAATTAATCCGGCTAGAAAAGAGAAAGCAAGCCGTATCCAAAAGTAGTGAACTCCCAGGTTTTCCTCCTTCGTTAAAGAACTGTTTTCCCCTGGGTCCTAAAGTTCAGAAGTTTGAACTGATCAGTAGTGATGAGTTTCATAACTGAGGTGCCACAATAGAGAAGGCCCTGTCCTTTGTGCTCACCTCCTCCCCACTTCATTAAGTGGGGGCACACTCCACACAACCTTGGCAGCAGATCTCCACTGATGGTTTATTAGGGCCCACTGTATGAGGCCCTGTGGCACAGGGGTGTGTGTCGGATCGATACATTGGGTTTACCCTGCTTGTATCCTTGGCAGTCCACGGCAGAGAAAGGGGGGGGTTGTCATAACAGCAGGCCAGCTTTGAGTGCTCCAGAACTCTTTGTCAGGCTGGATGTTTGGGGGAGGGGGAGAAATAAGATGTCTCAGGCCACAGATGAAGGCACTTTCATTGAGCACGGTTTCTTCAAAACCTAAACAACCCAGCATAATTTTCATTACCATTTTTAACAGTAAAGTGGATGTCTGGTGACAGCCATTTAAGCCGCAAGACTGAGTTATTATTTTTTATTATTTCTTTCAAAAACATATATGCTACCTCTGGATGCTCAGAACTCCCACATGCCATTTCCGTGTTTCAGATGTGTGCTTATGTTACTGAAGTCATGTCGATTTCTTGATCTTCCTGATGGCTGATGCTCAAAGCAAAAGCCAGATAAGGAAGCAGAGATAAGGCAGCAGAGAGGTCTTGAAGAAGGCCAAAGGCCTGCAGCCCCTGATAGGCCAGTCCAGACCACAGGGTGCCACAAATAAGCAAAGAAGTGAACAGTGTGCTGTCTAAGCAGTGTCTGCAGACCAGATAAATCAGATGACTCTTAGAAGTGAGTTAAACCAGAGTCCTTAGCCAATCAGGAATGGATGAGGTCCCCCCCCCCCAGTATTAAACATAGCTCTTAGATCCTGGAATTCACCCATCTAGACACCCCAAGGTGCAGCAGGCCCAAGCAGGTCTTGTAAAAAGTTGTTCTCCTGTTAGTTTTCCTTTGTTCTTTCTTTCTTTATCAGAGCCCTGCATATAAATAGGACTGCAGCTTCTCTTCCTCGCCAGGTAATGGAACCAAACTGGCCAATCCCTGCTATGATCCATATGGACCCACTCCTTTTTTCCCGAGGCAACTGTGAAACCTACCCAGATTAGCTTCCTGTCCCATGAGACCCCATTTCTGCCCCCTCCCCGGCCCTTCCGTTTTGTGGTCCCTGTGATGTTGTGCATCCTCTTCTACTGATCTTTTCCAGTTCCCCAACTGCGCACTGAGGCATGCTCCTGAGCTGTCAATACGCTGTGGTAAACTAAAATGTCTTTTCAAATGCCCTGAGAATCCAAGCAAAAGGTTGCCTGTTTGCTCTGATGGCAACTCCTTTCAGTCTGCTTCCTCTGAGGGGCGGGGTAGGAGATTGTTCTGCTGTGTCTTTGCATTAAGTGTGGTTGTATCAATCACTCAGAATGCTGCAAAGTAATAGGGTCACCTGCCCTAAGTTCTGTCTCCTGCAGAGGTTTTGAGGTATTGAGATCCAGAGAGAGAGCACTAGCTTACACAGGATGGGAGAGGAGAAACCTCCACAAAGCAACCAGAACCAGAAATGTTTCCATTTAATTTGTTCATATTATATATTAATTAAATTTAACTGTACACAGCTTTAAAAAAAGAATAAAGACCCAGGGTTTGTTCGTTCTCCTGCTGCCTTTGTTCTCGTTGAATAAAATATTGGAAAACAGGAGAAGACGGTCTTTCCCTTGCAGTGTGCTTAGAAGGTTACAACCCTGACCTTCTGCTGGGAAGGAAGCAAGCCCATCCATACCGGAAGGGAGGTGTAACTCTCCAAGGCTGGTAATTCCAGGAAGGGTCTGAAGTAGGGTTGCCAAACCCCCCGGTTTGCCAGGGGTCCCCCGTTTTTTTGGGGGGGGGTTCTACCCGCCGCCAGCCAGATGGCCGGCGGGGGAAGCCCCACCCCCAACACCCACAGCCACCCATCTCTCTCCCTTTAAGTGTGTGCAACCCGTGTTTCATCCCAAGCGCGAACTCCGCAAGCTTGCAGGGAAAAGCCAGCTTTGTTCTTAAAAGGGAAACACAGCTGCTCTTAAAGGGGAAACGCCGGCTGCCGGCTACTTTAAGTGTAGGGCACTGCCGTTTCTGGAGATCCGGCGCACGGGTGTGTGAGTGGGGGCGGGAGAAATCCCCAATGTGACGTCATCACGTTGGGGATGCCCCACCCCCTCCAGGAACGCCCCCAAAGTCCCCCGCTGGGGGTGGAAGATGGACTTGGCAACCCTAGTCTGAAGCCACTTGAACAATCCCTGTGCTGAAGCTAAATTTAGGACCGTCTGTCTATCTAGTACAGTCTATTCCAATGTTCCCTCTAAGATGCGTTAGTGTGAGCTAGCTCACAGTTTTTTAGCCTGCAGCTCAGACATTTTTGTCTTAGCTCAGGAAGGATGGCTCCAGAGCAAACTGATTTATGCAGTAGCCAAATCACTTGCTCACAACTTTAATGCCAGTAGCTCACAAAGTAGAATGTTTTGCTCACAGGACTCCACAGCTTAGAGGGAACATTGGTCTATTCTGATCTTTTTCTCAAGGAGTGCAGGGTGGCATACCTGGTTCTTTCTCCCCCATTATCTCACTCTGCAACCCTTCAAGGTAGGTTAGACTGACTGCTCCATGGTCACCCAGCATGCTGCGTGGTGAAGTGGGCATCTGGACCTGGATCTTCCGGATCATAGTTCAACAAGCTAACGGCCATCCTTGACTGGTCCAGTCAATGCCTGAATGGGAGATGCCCTAGGAATGCGGTTTCAGGTTTGTTAGGTAGTGTGGCTTTTTAGATTCAAAGCGATAACGTGTGCACTCACAGTGATGCTAGTAGGGATTAGTGGTCGTTAGGCACAGTTGAACTGTGAATGGGGAGGACTCCACTGTGACTGTCCCTGGTGTACCTCGGACCTGTCGCTCCTCTCTGTTTTAGCTACCTCACAGGGTTGTTGTGAGGATAAAAGGAGGAGGGGAGAGTCACGAGAGTGGAGGGAATGAAAGGATAACAATGTGATTGGTGAGATTTCCCCCCCCCCCCGTTTAAAAATGACGAGGGAGCATCACCTTGACTTCTGTGGTGGCGGGATATTCATAAAGAAAAAGCCAGCAAATGAAATGAGTAATTTCTGACTCTTAAGCACACCGAGAGCAGCAAACCTTTTCAGCTTGTCAGAGGGAGCCATGCCTCCAAGGTCAGCTCTCTGGTGTTTGGGAGGGGCTGATCTGGCTCCCTGTCCCCTTCAGCATGCCTTACTGTTCCTTTTCCCCTTCCAGACCCTCTGGCATACGACCCCAAGCCAGACTCGGAAAACCTCCCCATCATCACCATTGACCCCGCCTCGCCACAGTCTCCAGAGTCTGTCGACTTGGTGAACGAGACACTGAAAGGGATGAGCCACCTCCCGCCATCCCCAGAGGAAGAGGAGGACCAGGAAGGGCTGGTGATGCGGACCAAGGAGCCTTCCTCTCCGGGCACAGACGATGTGTTCACCCCAGGGGCCAACGACAGCCCCAGCAACCAGCGGATGATGCGATGCCTGAGTGACCCTGGGCCTAGGCCGGACCCTGAGGAAGAAGACCCCTTCATTCCAAAAGGGCAGTGAGGGCTAGGTGCACTACTTGATCTGACCTGTAGGGGGACCTTTCTGCACATACTCATACAGGCTCTCCCTTCCCTCTTCATTTTCCTCCTCTCTCTCTCTCTTGCTCTGCATTTTGGAGGCTTTTGTTTCTTTGTTGGGAGGTTCGGAACACGTCTGGCTAGCTGAGCACCTTTGCTGAGAAAGCAAGAGTCATAGCAGCCAGCACGATTTCCTTCTCCTGAGGGGGAAAAAGGCCAGTCCTCCCGTCTCCACGTCAGGGCTGTGCTTTGCCCCACCGCCTTGTCCCCTCCCCACAGTGCCAAGAGATGACTTTCCTTTGGATGCCCGAAGCCTCCATTTGCACTTCAGCAAGCCCCTTTGTTCCCTACCAGACTCCCCAGAGAAGGTGAGGAGATTCTGGTTCAGTTTCTGTCAGGAGTAGCATTGTCTGGAAGTGGAAGGTGCGCCATATCTGCCAGCTACCCTTTTGCATTCTCATGGAAATGTGCCTGACACTAAAAGGGAAACTGGCCTCCTGGGGCTGGTGCCTCATGGGATTCTGAGTGAGCCTCTCTTCTCCTTGATCCTCTGGGTGTAACAGATCTCCCACTCGTCTGCTAAAGAGTATCCTTGAAACCTCTGAGGCAAAGTTTGAAAGCAACCCAGTTGAACATTGGAGCACCGCTGGTTCAGAGAGATGTTTCGGCTCATGGCGTCTCAACATTGCCTGGTGCCTCCATTCCCTGCCAAGCCAAATACCACCTTTTCCGACAATTCAGGTTTTTAGTCTTGAGGATGATCAGGTGGTGGCTGCCGCCCTAAGCTTTCGGGTGTTCTGAAGAGAAACCCCAATTCCACTGAGCCAGAGAAAAGTTCCTTTTGCTTTCTAATCTTCCGAACTTGACGCTTGCCTGGATTTTTTGTTTTGTTCATTTCACAAGTGGAATTGAGCCATTTGCTCCCACACAAAGGGTGCTCTGGGCACCAGATTTGGATGAGGCTGTGGTAGGATGCCTGTCCCCGGTGCCCCCCACCCTTGTCCAGCTTCACCTGGCCATACTCACAAGCCAGCCCCACCTGTTCGAATCTGCACAAGAAATATTCTCTCTGCTGATTTGCTTCAACACCCCCCCCCCCCCGGGTTTGTGAGTATCTGAATCCTTTTGTTAAAATACACAGAGAGAGAGAGAGAGAGCATTTTGTTGACCAAAGATTTAATGAGCAGTTGTATATATAGAACTAACAGGGTGGAGGGTTTGTTTTTATTTCTCCTTGTTTTAAAAACAGGGTATATATTTCTTTAAATGATGGCTTAAATTATTCTACAGGGGGCATTTAATGTCTGTGAAAAAAACACACATACAGCTTACTCCGCCTGCTCCGTTCTGGGCAGAAAAACTACTTGCACACGCATGCACACACCGTAGGGAAAAGGCTTTGTTATTTTGCTGCCTAGAAATTGAGAGTGTGAGATGGTAGGACTGCAGGGCTGACATGACCTTTAGCGACAGTCAGAGCAGAGAAGACCCAAGGCCTCTTCCCACAGATATCCCAGTCCCACAATAGCCCCCTGGTAACTGGCTTCTGACCAGTTGATCTGATTGCCTGTTTCTCCGTTGTGCACTCCCGCACTTTCTGTATGAGACACTATGGTTTTCTTCTTATTTCTTTAAAATCCTCTTCTATCCTTTGTACACCATCCTGCATTTCCAAGAACAGTGCATCATTATTATCCCGGCCTATAAACCCGGTTTTTCTTCTCCCACCAAACTGTATCTTAAGGTGGAGAACCCACCCACTTCCAGATATGTCTGAGACCCAGGTGTAAATCCACTATTCTGTTCTAGTGTAGCCTTTGCAAGTAATAGCCTATGTAGGCAAGCTACAGATGTATATAGCACATAGAAAACTAGCCTGTTGGGGAGAAGGCATCTGGCACAGCTTTCTCCTTGACATTAGTTTTTCTAATATGCAGTCCCCCCCCCCCAATGTATGGGAAGAAGCATTCATTCATGCCATATCCTCTACCAGCAGTCTAAAGTGAGGCAGTCCATGAACAGTGTTGGGAGCATGAGTTTAGCATCCCTTAGCCCAAAGGTTACTGGCTGTATGTTGCAAGGATTCCCCGGTGCTAACACCTGAAGGGCAGAGAGAGAGAGGCTAGAACAAGATCAAATTCTAGGGGAAAAGACAGACAAACCCCTCCCCCCCCTGTAAAGCACTAGCTCTCCAAAAGAGGATTGAACCCTTAGTTCTTGCTGCCTTTTGACCCTGGCTGTTGCCCTACACTGGAGCAAACCACATTTTTGTCTAGTTTTCTGAGCTTTTTTTTTTTTGTTAAGGATGGGTATGTGCGTGCACAGGTGTGTGAGTGTAAGTGGCAAGCTGGAAAGAGGCTGTGTCTGTTTTAAATACTAGTTCTGCACTTTAGACAACAGTCAATGGCTGTTGCGACTCCAGTAATTAGAAAATAACTTTGAGGACTGCACCCTCAACAGAGCTGTGCTGGTGCCTGCTGAATTTTCCCTGGTCGCTCTTAGTCTCCCTCCCCCTGTCCCACTGAAGGGGTGCATTTCCTTTCTCTGCCCCCGTGCGCTGTGCCTTTTTAGCCATACCGTGTCTGCCTGAGCAAAATGGTGTTGTGATTTGCCGCTTTGTACATCCGGCAACCCCGGGTCTCTGGCTTGGAAAAGCCAGGCTTGACCCACTAGTGGCTCTGTGTGCCTCTTCATTCCTCCATCCAAATAGTGACTCTCCTCCCTTCCCCCAGCATATGTGCCCCACCAAAGGAGAAGAGCTACAAGCAGCGCATATGATTCTGCGTGCTCATCGTGGGCCTTTCTGTAGCTCTCTACTTCAGGCTGAGCGGAGGTAATCTGTATGTGCTTTTCATGTACAATGCTCTGTCTCCGGCAGGAGCAGTTAAAGCAGTGAAAAACTATTGTATAAAAATATGTGTAAAGAAGAGACTCTTTTTACATACAAATTCTAATAAATGAATGTTTTAATTTTTAGTGGCTTGTGATAGTTTTCTCCCTCCCACCACCACCCTTTGCCTCTCATTTTACCAGCACTCCCCCACCTGACATCCCAGCGAACATTGCTATAACATAAGCCTTTAAGGGGGAGGTTCTTTAGACTGGAAGGCTGAATTTTATTTTACTCTACATCATTTTGTGACCATTTCTCCAATCAAATATTGAAAGAAATCATTTCACATTAAAACCAGCAGAGATACATTTTTAGTCTCGGCAATCAGTTTGGTGGTCTTAAAAGACATTGGTAAATAAAGAAGATCTCTACTTGCCAGTAAAAAGCAGCCATCAAAGGGGCCTGACAGCCCTCACTGTGGAGACGCTTCCACTACATAGGTGCCACTACCAGAAAGGCCCTGCTTCATGAACTGGTAAATTCAGCTTTATGCATAGTAGGAGTGTAAAACAGAGCTTCCCTAATTACTTAAGGGAACAGGAAGGGTCATTATTTCCCATTATGTGCATATTTTGTCTGTTCTACCCAGTTAGTTTCTGCTTAGACTGCTTTCTGAGGCTTTCTATAGAGATTCTGGGAAAACCTTAAAATAGCTCATGACTGTCTGCGCAGCTCTGGCAAACCAGATATGTGTGTGGCTATTGTAAGCAACTATTGGATCATGCCTATGATTTATATTCACTATTATATTATATTATATTATTTCACTATTATAACCATTTTGACAGAAGAAAGGAAATGTACACAATGCTTTCTGTTCCCATTTTAACATATTTTTTCAACCCTTGTGCGTTTTCTCATCTTAGCACCTTCAAGAACAATTTCTTTGACAGAAACTGACTAGATCAGAAGGTGCTGGAAATCTGGTCTGGTCAATTTTAACAGTCCCCTGAAGGGTTTATTTATTCATCCCTAACCTACCTTTCTCCCCAAGGGGACCCCAAAGACCTTACATCCTTTGCCTCTCTTCCATTTTATCATCACAACAACCCTGTGAGGAAGGTACGGCTGAGAGTGTATGACAGGCTAAAGGTCACCCAGTAAACTTCCACAGCAAATTAGGTTCCTATCCTGGATGTCCCAGATAATAGTCTGACACTCTAAGCACTATGCGCTGGGTATGAGGTCAGAAAAAGATGGCATGAATAGAGGTAGCCCTTTATTGACTTCTACTCAGCTCATCCTCCAGGAAGCTGTTTATCAATGGGTTTTTTGGCAGGGGGGGGAGGTCTCCCAGCCAGGCAGCTGATCGATTCAGACATGCTTCATTTCACATCTGTGTCCCATTTACGCATCTATCATTGCTACTGCCTCAGTAACTGGGTGGGCAGGTGGGGGATGATTTTCATTTCTCATAGGGAACCATTCATCTGTAAACAGTCACATTAACAGTCACTGCAGGGTGTAGCAATTAGTGTCTGGGTGTATGGTTCAAATCCCCAGTCTGCCAAAGAAATTTATATTCTCAAAACATAAAGCTGCTGTAATCCATCCACTTGCCATAAATAACATGACCAGTAGGTGACACTCTTCCCCCCTGAATGTTTACCCCATCAGAAACCGACTGGTAGCGCTCTAATAAACTGATGCAAAATACAGATTTTTTTTTTAACCTAAGCAGAGCTCCTGGTGTGAGGGATGGCTCACTTCCAGTTTTCCCCGGTGAATTGAACTGGGCACCTTGATGACAAATTTTCATTCCCTTTACTACTGCATATATTTGGATGGCTGTTAATAGCTCATAAATCAATAGGATCCTTCTCCTTTGAATTCTTTAATAGTGGTATGAACTTTGCTACCATAGTATTGAGTCCTCTGGTTAACCTTGCATTATGAAGAAAAAGGTCATCTTGTTTTGGTTTCAAAGCTGTCCTTGGAAAACTTGTGATCCTATCAATTCATAAACTATTTTCAAAGCTGTCCTTGGAAAACTTGTGATCCTATCAATTCATAAACTATGCTGAGTTACTCCAGTTTAAGCCCGCTGAAAAAAACTGTAGTAACTCTGCATAGGATTGCACTGTAACACACTGAAAGGAGATACTAAACAAGGAAAAGCGGGCCAGAATTACACCAGCAGTAGAAATCCAAGTTAACTGGCAACTGGAAAAGCTTGCAAGGGAGCATAGAAAGATGTCACTTGGTAGATCTCTGTTCAGCTATCAAGACAGGTGCCAACACAAAAGGCCCTGCTGCACATCTGCCTTGCTCTTTCTTTAGCATAGGCAGCAACACAGAACCAGGCAACTCCATCAGATCTTAAAAGACAGGAAGGAATCTGTTGCTTTGTCAATACTATATGGGGTTGGTGGAGCTATAGCATAGCTAGAGAAAAGAAGATACACAGCTGTTCTCTTAGCCAACGAGTTTAATTTTTCTTCTAATTATTTTAGCATTAAGTCTTTGATAGAGGTGTGAAAATCTTAGAATTCTATTAATCGAGGGAGAGCCAGTTTGGTATAGTGGTTAGGTGTGTGGGCTCTAATCTGGGAGAACCAGGTTTGATTCCCCACTCCTCCACATTCAGCTGCTGGTGTGACCTTGGGTCAGTTACAAGTTCTTTCAGAGCTGTTCTCTCATGAGCAGTTCTTGAAGGAGCTCTCTCAGCCCCACCTACCACACAGGGTGTCTGTTGTGGGGAGGGGAAGGGAAAGGAGATTGTAAGCCACTCTGAGACTTCTTCGGATAGTGAAGGGCGGGGTATAAATCCAATCTCTTCTCATTCTTCTACTCTAAATGCATATTGCATTGAAAGATTTGTTCAGGTAATTAGACTGTACAAGTGGAGACCCGCAAGAAACTTGCGGAATGGTTATCCTGTTCCTCACACCTTTGCTTCCTCCTGTCTCCCTCTACCTCTCTCACACTCTTTTTCCCTTCTGCCCCCCCTTTCTTTTTCTCCTCCAGCTATGGCATTATACTGATCTGTAGTTCCTTCCCTCCTCCAATCCCACCCTTCCCAGGCTCCACCCCACAAATGTCCAGGAATTTCCCAACCTGGAGTTGGCAACACAATTTCCTTCCCACCCAACAGCCAACCTACCTTTATCTGCCTCTCTGTCTGCAACTTTCCATCTCCACACCCCTCCCCCGCAGCCTGTACCTAGGAAAATTACTGTTTTTCTCCACAGTGGGGA